AAGAGTGATATGATAGTAACAAAACTAGAGCATTAAGAAAAGTAATGAATACAAAGATGACCTATAGTAAAGGATTGGTCCAACCAGAATTGGAAGCACCTCTGTCATTTGGTACAATATTAGATTAAGAAAATAGATTATCTATAGGGAATCTATAGATAAGAAATTGATTAATAGGAGTAGTACAAAATCTAAGTCAGATATTAAGGCTCTGGTAGATAAAGTAGTTTAAGTCTAGTATTCTTAGATTAGTTAGTAAGTAGATACATGAGTAAGCAACAAGGTTATATAGTAGTATATAAACTTATTAATTCAATAAAAATACATGAAGCATGACCTCACCTTAATACTAATAAAAAATTTTTTTATTATAAGCCCAAGAGTGATTTATTTAGTAAGAAAAAAGTTTTAAATGTAATATCTTCACATTTACTAATTAAAAATTTATATATAATTTATATATAAATCTTGTATAACTTTGCATCATATAGCTCTCTAGATAACTGGCAAATTATCTATTAATTTTACAAATAGTCTGTCTAAGTAGTAAACAAAATTGTTAATAAATAATTAGTTAGGCAAACTATATTGATATAAATAGAAATATAATTTATAAGTATATTTTGAAATTTTGTTATTAGGTTGTTGCATCAAAATTAGTTAAAAGATAAAGTAGTATTGTATTATTTTTTCTAATTTAAGAAATTAATACAGTATAGTTTTTATATTTGTTTATAAATAAGTTTGTAAATTTAAAGTAGAATTTTAATAATAATTTAAGAAACTAGTATGTATAGATTGCTATATTTTTAAATAGTTTGAACTATATATATTACTAAAATAGCTTTTCAAAAATCACTATTTTATCTTCATTAGAACAAATTAAAATTTTTTATATAAAAACAAATCTAATTCAGGTTTTTATGTTCTTATAATTTCATTTCTTTAAAAACATATCAAAAAATTTATTTTTTAAATAAATATATTAAACTTTTTAAATTAAAAAATTCAATAAAAATTATTAGAAGGGATGTAGTAACTTAGTAAAGTGGTTGAGTTGTTATTCTCAAGCAGCACATCTAGAGTTCAATTCTTACTGACAGTGGAAAATTAAATTCTTTTGTATAATAGCAACTTTCTTGTATAGTGCAAGAAGCCTAGAACCGACATCATGTAATCTACAACAATATATATAAATAAAATTATATCTAATCGATAAAAATATTATCTATCTAAAAAAAAACTTTATAGATTGATTATTTAGAATCTGAATTACAATGTTATAGAGAGATTTTTCATTTTAACTTACTATTACTTATGTTATTAGCTATTAAAATCTCAGTGTTTTTATATAATAATTCAAATTTGGCCATGCCTTGTAATATACTGTAAATTAAGTTTTTATATGCTACAAGTTTAAATAACTAATCGCATATTTTCACTTTATTTTTTTTACTTTATTTTTTACTTATTTAATTTTCATTTATATTGTATCAACACCATTTTTGGTTTTATTATTTGATATTGTGGTCATTAAATGGTATATATTTTTAAGTTAAATTTTATTTTATCTGATTGAACTCGGATAAGTTTCAGGATCGTTATTTTTGGTTTTTTTTTTTTTTATCTTGCATTCAAATAAATTTAGACAAATTCCACTTTGCTATGTTAGCAAAATATAATTATTAAAGTTTCTAAAGAATATTATTTTAAGTAGCCTCCAAACTAGTAATCACGATATTGTTTAATTATTGAGTAATTATAAGCACCATAATATCTGTCAATTGTAAATGCAATCTATGATCATAAAATGAAATAGCAATATTAAATTGGATTTATTTATCAATTTATTGCATTTTTTAGGAATGTATTCACTTGAAGTGTAGTTTTTATTTGTGTACCCATTAAACTTAATAAACTATATCCTATTAATCCTGTTAAACACTTCAAATTTATATATTTTTAACTATTGATAGCCTTGAATTATTTGCTAACAAAACGGGGGGGGGGTTTTTTTTTTTTCTTTTTTCTCTATATTTTTTTTTAGACTCTAATTGCATCATTATGCATAGGACACCACATAACATGCTAAAAATGCAGATTTTAGTAACAGTGTAACTTTATAAAAAAAAGATCTAAACTATTGTATATTGAAAAACTTATTTGTTAGATTATTTAATTTTCGACGGATTAAAATAATCTTCTTTAATTAAATTTTATAAATTAAAATATTGTAAGAAAACCTATATTTCAAAAAAAAAAATTCAATTATAAATAATATTTGAAGTATTTAAGAGCAATTTTACTAACTTGTAACAACAATTAAAGGACAATGTTTTCAGGAATCTGTTGGTGTGACTTATATTTTTTTATAGCAAATTCAGCAGCAGCAAGTAATAATTCTTTTCTGTAAGTATCTATATATCGCTATGCTCTTTTTGCAAACTTACAGATTGTTATAACATCTACAAAAGCAAGAGCTTTTGGTACAATATTTCGCAACTCTTGAAATGTGTAATTGCAATGACTTCTTGTTTATTTTTTTATTACAACCCAAAAATACTCGATATAGTTTAATTTCAGATGGAATTTAGGGTAAAAAATAATTTTATGACCTCAACTATACACAATGTCTTCAAGAACGTTTTTTTGTTCTATAAAATCTGGCTGTCTTGCTAACTTCCTCATGTTACAACAGATCTTTTCTTTATCTTCTGAGCACTTAATACATTTACCCCTTAATTGTTGATCCCAAATATTCCTTTTGTTTATTATCCATTTTATTCTCTTTGGTTTTACTCTTTTTTCCACATTTTTATAATTAAGTGAAAAAACTATTTCTTGAGATATACCGTCAGGTAATCAACCAGAACACACTCATGGTTGTTTGTCACTATATTTATATTCATTCTGCTTGCTACTAATGCATCTTCTACAAAGACACCATGACTCAAACTGTTATCAAATACAAATACAAAAATTGTGTCTAGGAGTGCAATTTTTAAAACATCAATTGTTCGCTTAAGTTGTTCAGCAAGCGACTGAATATTCCAATAACTATCATGGTTTATACAACTTTAAGTGTCTCTGTAACATATCTATTTGGAATTTCTAGGTGGGCTAAATGTTGCTCTGCAGTTAAATGAACATGTTCCAAAGGTTCATATAAAAATTCACTAACGTGAATACACCTGCCTTGTCCCTTTGGACATAATTTTTGTTCACCTATTTGAAAAAAATATAAATAAATAATTAAAAATAAGTTTACCAAATAAATTAAATGAAAAAACACAAACCTCCAAGCCTTCATTCAGTTTTTTTATCATCATTAGCAGCTAATATTGTCTCATCATGTGTTATTACACAATGTGGTTTTTGATTAAGAAGAATATTTTTTTTAATTAATATTAAATCATTCTCATCATATTTAATAAGAAGAGGTTCTAATTCAGCCATCATGGGTAAAAAAACTTCTTGTCAGTACCGTACTATGTTCACCCATTTATGCCTATCTACATATACATCCTTTTTCCATTCCTTATAACTCTACCCTAACTTTTTAAGCCATTCTAATACAGTTCTTTCACTTATAGTTGTTTTTTTTTTCAATGCCTAAAGATAGAAAGACTTCATTTTTTACAAATTCTTTTAGAACCTTGGGGTTCACACTAAACTTATTGCATCATAAATATGACATTATCTATTTAATAATAAAATCTTTGGTAAGCTATTAATAATTGGGAATTGCATTTAAAAATAAAACAATTTATTTATTTTATTTTATTTTTTATCTTCATTGATATTCTTTCATCATCAATAAGGCTTGCTATTTTCATATACTTGCTATGATTCTCTTTTGGTAATTTTCACCACCTTAACTACTCATTACTTCATGTACGAATACACTTTGTTTTGTAAGCTCCCCAGCCTAATGACCCAGCAATTGTTGCACTTGAATTGATTTTGGTCTAACCTTGATATCTCAAATGCAAATATTGCAATGCAGCTTGTAAACAAACCTTAGTTCCTTTATCAATTTGTTTACTATCTTTTTCTAACATATTGTCTAATTTTTTAATTGCTTGTTTCATACAGGCTTTATCATTGTTCACATTTATTTCTGCTGATTTTACTATTGAATCTACAGCATTATCAATTATTATTTATCTCCATCCTTATCAATTACTATTGTATTTACAGTCTCATCAACCAAATTTGTTTCTATTAATTGTACTGCTGCATCTGCAGCTAATAATTTATGAGTAGATGTTGAAGCAACATTAAACCTTAAGGAATTGGTTAAAGATAAGTT